TGATTCTTATTCGGAATTCTTATATTTGGAGTTGTAAGTCGAGTAGACTAATCAACGGAATTCATTTACAAATACCGGAATTCATTTACAATCACCGGAATTCACTTCGAAAATCCCCGATTCTTCCCATAAAACTAATTTATTTTAAATGTATGATTAGTCGGACCCTTGTTTAGTTCAATTTCTTGTACGCAAAATAAAATAAACGATCAGTTTTAAAATTAATTATGGTTTCGAAATAATATCAATCTAATTTGTCTTATTTAAGACTTATAATTAATAATTTAGAAAACATTTCAGGCCTAAAGAAAGACCTGCAATAGCCAGATTTAACTCTTCCATACTGTATGTTTAAGATGCGTTCTCATGCAAACTTGTCCTCAGTTGTTAAATAAACTGTTAAACACTTACTTACTGTTAAATAAACACTCAATTAAACATACGGTTTTTACATATTGATTGCAATAAGGCCAAAAAAAAAAGGGTTCTGTTTCCTGTAACGGATGGAAAATAGGGTAGGGTCGGTAGGTAGGGTTTTTTTTTTTTCTTTTTTTTTTTAATGTTACACTGTCAGATCTAGTAGATGTACCGTAGCATAATAATATTCTGTGTGAAAATCTTCAATTTTATGTTAGGTTGAGTCGGCGCCGAGGAACATGAAGCATGAATGGAATTGTTGGATAATTGTTTAAAATGTATCAGACGCTAGATTATGATTTTAAATATCCTCTTAGGGGGCAAATGGATTTTTTAATCTTTCTATGATAAAAAAAATAGCGTAGGGAGGCCACTTTGTTCAAGGGAAAGAACTTGCGATAAAAACTTAAAAAATCATATTGTGCCGTCGCACGAAATAGGTCCGTAATAAATTTATTTGTCTTGTTTTAAATACCAATCGAGCAGATCCTATCCACCTGTTTGAAATATAAGTTAGCTTGTTTTTGTCAAATTGCGTGTCGTTACTTATTAGAACGAAGGTTGTGAGGATTGTGGCTTTTCGGGATGTTAAATCTATACGAAGCTCGTAGTCTCAATTTTCACGTCAGTTAGCAATCTCGTGTCAACAGTTTGACAGTTCTTAATAATCGTTCGCTGTGCAGTACTCGCTTATTCCGATCGGTAAATGCTGATTCAAAGAACGATGACATTTATATCCATTTATAGCAACAAATAATAAAGCCATTTTCACGAATCCGGTAGGCTTAGAGTATTTTGAACGGTCGCTCGTTGAACAAAAAAGTTTTTTAATTTCCCTTGACACTAAAAAAAAATGAGTCGGCAGGTTTTGTAATGGGTCGGTCGGGTTACCGGAAACATAACATTTTTTCTTTTGGCCTAATAAAAGTAGAGTTAATTGACATTCAATGGCAGATAGTTGAAAAGGGATCCAATTTCCGAAATGGTAGAAAAACGTACATGTAAGATCAATGAAAAGATAATGCAAAAATGAAATGAAATGAAATGGGGTTTAACGTCCTACTGTTTTGCTCCGAACTGGGCTAATGAAGACGGGCATACGCCATGCAGTGTGCTATGAGGGAAATTTTGCCCATACAGCGGCACTATGGCCTACTCTTATATCGAATTCCAACTGTCAAGGGATCTTTTAGTTGCACGCCAATGTGTACACGGGACCTCAGTTTTTCGTCTCATCCGAATGACTAGACAGCTGTCCTTGTCAGGCCCTCCGTCAAGGAGTAAAAAGATAATGCATGGAAAAGATATTTATTTGGGATGAAACAGCCAGAGGTGAACCGGTCGTGGGATGAAACAACCTCCTTCCCGTTTATATTATATAAATATTGTTAGAACAAATCACACATCAGGTGGATTTTATCCAATGTTACGTTTATTAAAATAATCGCGATATACCTCTTTCAATGTATTTGATATTAATACAAAAAAGAAGTATAAATTCTAATGAATTGATTTGAAAAAAAAAACCTGGTCGAAACACAAAAGAAAATATGTACTCAATGTGATGAAACGTAAGCAGATGTTGACATGCATACCACGATGAGGAGGTAGTGTATATAATGAAAAAGGCAAAACACATATAGTAAGTTTATCCAAGTTCACCCAAAACTATCTTCAACAGGGATTTTACTATTTTATTTGGTAGCTCATTACCATCAACGGCAATTGGCTATTATCAATTCGAGAAGAATACTTGCGTATCATAATAAAGCACATATCTATTTTGGGGTGTTGGATGGCCGAATGGTTAGCACGTGCGTTCGCACTGTATTTAAATGAGGTCTGTCATTGAGTCAACTGGCGTGGTTTCGAATCCCTGGTTGCACATGTACGTGACAAGGAGTAGGGTCGCCTGTCCAGCCTCGTGGGTTTTCTCCAGGTCCTCCTGCTCCCTCCCACTCCTACGTGCATGTGAATTATTGAGATAAATTAAACCATGTGTTAGTCCCGAAACGATCTTGAGTGCACTTAAACCCCATTTCTCTCTCTCTCACCTCTCTCTCACCTCTCTCTCACCCTGTAACTTATTTCCATCAACGGCAACTTGACTATTATCAATCCGAGAAATTGCGTATGATAATAAAGCACATGTTTTTTACTATAAATAAACTGTTTATATTGACAGTGTATGGCAATGTTGATAATGAATGACATTGATTGACCTACTTGAAGCTTTCATGAAATCCATTCACCAATAGTTTAAATCTTTGACGGGGATGTCAGAATTTGTTTGATGGAATATAACAACAATAATGAAAGGACAGATAGTCGAACACTAAAAGAGGTCAATTATAATCTATGTGTTTTGTTTTTATATGCCCACATTAAATGTGGTCATATATTCTTGTCGCCCTTGTCGGTCCGTCCGTCCACAAGCTCTATAGGCTAAAGTTACAGTAATATCCGATTGACTTTAAATTTATATACAGTGTTGAAGACCATGAGATGACCAAGTATATTGATTTTCAAGAATCTTAATGACTTGAACAGCTAAATCGATGATGTTAAAGGTTTTGTATACTAAACGTTAGCATGGGGCAGAACTTTATAAAAACCAAACAAATTCTAATGGTTTTCTGATAATTACTTAATGAGTTGTTACTCTTAATCAGATTTTAATTTATTATAAATGTTTGATTACCGAAAAAATATGTGACAACTCTTGTTAACTGCCCGGACAATATAGCTGCTGTGGACGTATGTTTCGTTGCCTGGCAACCTATCTTTATTGAATAAGTTATACTCCTGTAAGATTTTTACCACAATAAAAACAATCAGTTCGTGAAAAAAGAGAAGAATTCCGAATATCTGGCACATGCACTGATTCACAAAATGCTGGATATAGACATCGATTTACATGTATTTACATTTTGTAAGGAAGGAAGATGATCAATAAAATTTCCGTTTTTGGCCATAATTGGCAAAAAAAATGTGTTGCACGCATTTTTCTTCAGGTGACATATTTTGTAACATGCAGTCTACAAAATCAACACACATTCAATCCCTGAATACAGCCAACATTTGATTTACCAATGGGAACTGACTGACGCCGACCCATTTGTGACCAATAAACATTTATATAGATATGAATTCTGCTTTCAAGATCATAAAAATAAAACTGATTACAAAGTAGCTAAAAGTCTAAACTACACTTTCCGTTACATTGAGGACATAACACATATCAATGATAATGGAATTTTCAACAAATATAAAAATGAAATATATCCCCTGGAACTAATATTAAACAAAATAATTCTGGCACTTTAACTGCATCTGTTCTTAACATAGATATTAATAATGTCAGCATTTTCAACAAAATGGACAAATTTGGCTTTGAAGAGGTAAAATACCCTTCAGGTGTTACGCTATATGATGATTTCTATTCACAGGCATTAGGAATTTTAGCAAATTGTAACGATAAAGAACTATTTCTTTCTAGAAAAAAATATTTATTATAAATGCACTGCCAAAGGCGGAATACAATTACATATTTTAAATGAAATTACACCTTTTTAAAAGAAATTTATTTTGAAAGTTTCATTTCTTCAACATATATACATTACAGGAAACTAATGATCACATAACTTTTATTTATCACCCAGTAGATAAGTTGTATAATCTACTCCTTTCTTGTTAAAAGAAAGTGATGAGAGTCGCTTTCATCTTTATGGCCGTCCACCATATGTGGAGACGTCTTGGGGAATGTCTTGCAGACTGCTGCGTCTTCAAAACGAATCATTGGGGTGGGGGAAGTGTAATGGTGTGGGGAGGCTTCACATTTCATCACCGGACCGCCCTACACATTTGCAGGGGTCGCGTTAATGCTGTAGCCTACCGTGATGATGTCTTGCAACCAATTGTTGTTCCGATGTTTCGAGCGCACCCACAACTTTAGCACTTCCAACAGTATAATGCACGTCCGCATACCGCCCGTTTTAGTATGGACTACCTGGCTGCTAACAACATCAATGTCTTGGACTGGCCAGCCATGTCTCCGGACATGGCACCAATAGAACATGTCTGGGATGAGATTGGACGCCGTCTGTATCGGAGACCACAGATGCACACCATTGCTGCTTTAGAAGCTGCTCTTGTCCAAGAATGAAACAATTTGCCCCAGGCCTTCTTTCAAACATTGGTAAATCCCATGTGACGTCGCTGCACAGCGTGCGTAAGAGCCCGTGGAGGACACACGCGCTACTGACATCTGTGTCGTACTTTTGGTTTTGACCCCTCTGACTTTGTGCCGTTGATTACAGATTAAACATCCATAAGTGTACAAATGTGTTGTTATTGATGTGTTCCCATTTGAATATTATTCACAATAAGAAGCAAAATCAATAAGATATGTTTACAGGATCATTTTGTTATATGAAAAACTAAGTGATGCGTTTTCCATGGTGTTCAGTATATTACAGGGAACTAATGATGTTATAACATTTATATATTACAGGAAACTAATGATGTTATAACTTTTATATATTACAGGAAACTAATGATGTTCTAACTTTTATATATTACAGGAAACTAATGATGTTATAACTTTTCATCAATGTACAATATGTGATGAACTTTTTCAACAATTTGATGATTTAGTAAACCACTACAAAATCCATTCCAGAGAAGAGAAAACTGATGATGTTGATGAATATTGTCATGTTAAAGAAGAGAAAACTGATGATGCTGGATATTGGCATATTAAAGAAGAGAAAACTGATGATGTAGATGAATATTGTCATGTTCAATTTAAAGCAGAGAAAACTGATGATGTAGATGAATATTGTCATGTTAAAGAAGAGAAAACTGATGATATTGAAACATGCTATCCGTGTAATTTATGTGATGAAGAATTTAAATTAGAAACTGATTTAGAGAAACACTGTGAAATACATGTTAAAGAAGAGGATTCTGTTTTACAGCACGGTAAAAATTCAGAGACAAGTTTTAGTCAGTATAATGAAAAAGAAAAGCACAATTCACAAGAGTTTAAGAAGTGTGATGTTCACATCCGAATTCACACGGGAGAAAAACCTTACAAATGTGATGTTTGCAGTAAATCATATACTGCTGGTAGTAGTCTAAAAACACACATGAGAATTCATACTGGTGAAAAACCTTTCAAATGTGGTGTTTGCAGTAAATCATTTACTAGATGCAGTAATCTTCATATACATATGAGAATTCATACAGGTGAAAAACCTTATAAATGTGATGTTTGTAGTAAATCATTTACTGAAAGTAGTCATCTTTATACACATATGAGAATTCATACTGGTGAAAAACCTTATAAATGTAATGTTTGTAGTAAATCATTTTCTCAGAATAGAAGCCTACTGAGCCACATGACAATACATACTGGTGACAGACCTTATAAATGTGATGTTTGTAGTAAATTATTCACCACTAGTAGCAGTCTACAGGCACACATGAAATATCATGGAAAAAAACCTTATAAATGTGATGTCTGTAGTAAATCATTTACTCAGCGTAGTGACCTGCAGCTACACATTAGAATTCATACTGGTGAAAAACCTTTTATATGTGATATTTGTGGTAAATCATTTAGACAGAATGGAACTCTTACGGAACACATGAGAATTCATACTGGCGAAAAACCTTATAAATGTGATGTTTGTAGTAAATCATTCACTCATAGTAGTGGCCTGCATCTACACATTAGAACTCACACAGGTGTAAAACTTTATAAATGTTATGTTTGTGGTAAATCATTTGGACAGAATGGAAATCTTAAGGAACACATGAGAATTCATACCGGTGAAAAACCTTATAAATGTGATGTTTGTGGTAAATCATTCACTCATAGTAGCGGTCTGCAGCTACACATTAGAACCCATACAGGTGAAAGACCTTATAAATGTGATGTTTGTGGTAAATCATTTGGACAGAGTAGTAATCTTAAGGAACACATGAGAATTCATTCTGGTGAAAAACCTTATAAATGTGATGTTTGTAGTAAATCATTTACTCAGAGTAGTCATCTACATGCACACGTGAGAATAGGTTGCTAGGCAATGCAACATACGCCCACAGCAGCTTATTCCTTTGTAGGTAATTGAGGGCCTTTACGAGACAGTTCCATACAGATCAGATTATAATTTTTACAAGGTTCGAACTGAAGCAAGGTTTGCAACTCTGGAAGTAATCCACAGAAATTGTTGAAATTTGACAGGCTTTTTCGTTTTAAATAATGCATATAAATTTCATACAGATCAGATGATGACTTTTGTCATTCAAACGTTCACAATCGCCATAACTCTAAAAATTATTGATTGAAATTATGAAATTCAATAGACCTCTGTTTCACAAATTTAAATGATGCATATAAATTTCATACATATCGGTTGATAACTTTTCATCAATCGAGCATTAATAAGGTTGAACAAAGTGAAACAAGGGCCATAACTCTAGAAGTAATTATTGTAAATTGCTGAAAATCAGTAGGATTCATGGTTTCACTAATTTAAATAATGCATATAAATTTCACAAAGATCGGATGATAAATTTTGGGGTTAGAGCGTTCACAAGGTTTAATAAAGTAAACAAGGGCCGTAACTCTAGACGTAATAAACGGAAATTGCTGAAATTCAATAGGCTTCTTCATTTCACTAATTTAAATAATGCCAAGAAGAAGACGATAAAACCTCACACGCGATAGGAAAAGAGGGGCAGAAGAGTCCCCATGACAGTTAAGGCAAGTTTGGATCTCAGTGATGCACCAGAGGAAAACCAGAACCAATCCTTGTAGATAAATCATACATGCTGTAGCCATTTGTAGTAGTTAATATGACACATGTTGTATTATTATTCATAGTAGAAAATCCCCGGTAACAAACTTAACAAGACTGTGTTGATATAAAAAGGATTTATCCATTATTATAATTTATCCAGGACGCGTTCGCCCTTTATCATCTAATTACAAAAATTTCACAAAGATTGGATGATCACTTTTGGTGTAATAGCATACACAAGGATCAACAAAGTGAAACAAGAGCCATAACTCTAGACATTAAATAGGCTTTTTCATCTCACTAATATAAACCACATATATCAATTTTAAAACAATGGGATAATAACTTTTGGAGAAATTGTGGAGGACGGATGGACGGACAGACCGGGGCGACGGCAATGTGGGCGTATAAAAACCTTTTAAATGTGATATTTGTAATAAATTATTCACAAACAGTAGTAGACATCAAAATCATATGAAGTATCATAGTAGAGAAGTGAATCATTTACTAGCAATAGTCATCATGATAGATATATCAGATTTCATACTGGAGAAATCCCTTTTACATGTGATGTTTGCACTAAATCACTTAATCTACATGCACACATGAGAATTCATACTGGAAAAAAACCTTATAAATGTGTTGTTTGTAGTAAATTATTCACCATGAGAACACATGGAAGGACAAGGGAACAATAAATCTTTTTCACATATACCAAAAATCATAATACATCTTTTCAACTTTTCCGTGTAAAATCTCGGCTGGCTATATCGCTATGTTTCATATGTATCCATTAGAACTCCATATGTTTCCATCAAACTTCGGGGAGTATCACCATTTTGAATTTTCCACTAGAATTGTTGTTTTTGTAAGTTTCACAAGGATATAATAAAATATATTTCCAGCTGATGTGAGGCCATAATATTTAGTGTAGTTCATTCAATTTGCATACTGATCCGTTTTCTAATTTTCCGGTGACCCCAAATTGTCCCCACCATAATTCAGGAGGGATATCATATTGGCCGAGAAATCTGGACCTCGAAGCGGATAGTTTACGTTCAGATGTGGAGGGGGTGCGATGGTTAACGCGTGGGCATTGTATCAGAAGTAGACCGGAGGCTCAGCACGGGGGGTGTCCATCAAATGGGCACAAAACCAGACCCAACTTTTCTAGAGTAAAATTTTGCATAGAATACAATGCCGAGTGGTAATCAGTCCGCCGTTGGGGCGTTTTCGAGATATTCGGGGTCAAAGGTCAAATGAGTTCATTTGCACTGAAAGGGAATGCCCAGCCATTCTTGTATTATGAAAAGAAGCTGAAAATGATCGAAAGTAATCATACTTTCAATAAAAATGTAAACTTGCTAAATTCACCTTTAATCTTAGTGACCCTGGAGGTCAAAAGGTTAAATTTACCGTTTTTGCACTAGGAAGATTTAAAGCAATAAAATGTCAACGTAAAATATAAAAATTAAAGCGAAACCTGTTCTAATTAATAATAGGAACATTTCAAATTTATCTTTAGGTGGTCTTAGCACCAAACTTTAACTATGGAATGTCGAAAATGATCTTGCATAACAGAACCAACACACTTTGAAACCTGTTTCAAAAATACGTAAAAACTGTCAAATCGAAATCTCTCCGATTTATTTTCACAACGATTGTTATACATAATGATACTAGTTATCTGAAAAACAATTGAAAAGTTTCAGTGTTGGACTCCAGCCTGCAGGCCGTGTGGTTTTCCGAGAATCCCAGTCTAGGAAAACCGACATTAATCTGTGACGGAAAAACACGCATCTGGCCACGAGATTAAAAGTTTGCAAACTTTTTATGCGTTTTTATGAATTTCGTCGGAACATGGACGCAGATAAAACCCGACGAATGCATTGTACATAGTAGTTCACAGGATATATATGTCGTATTGGTAAATGTTGGCCGGGGAAAATTTTGGCAGGCTTTGTGACGCGGCCTGCAGGCTGGAGTCCAGCCATGGAACTATTTAATTGTTTTTTTCAGACATCTAGTATCATTATGTATAGCATTCATTGTAAAACTAATTCGGAGAGATTTTGATTTAACAGTTTTTACGTATTTTTGAAACAGGCTCCGAAGCGTTTTGGTTCTGTTATGCAAGATCATTTTCGACGTTCCAAAGTTAAAGTTTGGTGCTAAGACCACCTAAAGATAAATTTGAAATGTTCCTATTATTAATTAGAACAGGTTTCGCTTTAGTTTTTATATTTTACGCCGCCATTTATTACTTTAAATCTTCCTAGTGCTAAAATGGAAAATGTAATCTTTTGACCTCTGGGGTCACAAAGAACAAAGGTGAATTTAGCAAGTTTACATTTTTATTGAAAGTGTGATTACTTTCGATCATTTTCAGCTTATTTTCATGATACAAGAATGACCGTGCATTCACTTTCAGTGCAAATGAACCCATTTGACCTTTGACCCCAAAGGTCAATAACGGTCAATATGCTTGATAACGATAAGAGAATACTTGTCGAAACGTCGTGCTATACTTATAAACCAGTGATTGTATTTCCATATAAACTGTGTTGTGTTTTTTACCTTTGAAAGAATTGACAAATTTTGAGAAGGGTCCATAGTTTTTAATGAAGTGGAGGTATAGATGTACTGGCCAAATGAATTTTAGGGGGGGCGGGGGGTGCAGAACTGAATTTCTCGTCTACCTACGACATAGTGGGTCCTTGGCAAGCGTCACAGACACAGAGAAGATTGGCATAATTTGAGAAGGGGTCCATAGTTTATAAAAATGTTTTAAGTGAAGATATCCCTGTTTACACACAGCATAGACATAAAGCTTGTGTAATGGCCTCCCCATGAAAACGTCTTCCTGCTATTTTGTGAGTGACCTGAGTATCAGCATACTGTAATAAAATCTTTTCACAATTTTAATCTGAGTAGAATTTAGTTTGTTTACAGTAAAAATGTATGATGGAAAATTAATACAGCCATCATCATGTCTTTTTAATGTGAAGTGAAAGGAGAAAAACAATCTGATTATAATACAGATCTGTATCTCGTTCGTTTGTTTATCGTTCGCTGGCCTACATTACATGAAGATCTGGGAGAACGCTAGATCGCAGATGGTACTGCACATTTTAGCACATATCGTTAGGGATTGTAGATTTTGCTATGGTCTCGAGATGTAAATAGAGCTAGCCCTAACCCCAACCCTGTACTAAACTTGACATCGAAAACCAATTTTATCTGGACAGTGGAACCTTACCACCAGAAGTGTCACACATGTTATTTTGTTATTGGGGGGTTGGATGGCCGAATGGTTAGCACGTGCATGCTGTATCATACGACCTGTCGTTGAGTCGTGGTATCGAATCCCCGGTTGTACGTGACAAGGAGTAGGGTCGCCTGTCCAACCTCGTAGGTTTTCTCCGGTTTCCTCCCACTACATTAAACCATATGTTAGTCCCGAAATGACCTAGTTTGTGTCATTATTTGAGTAGGCCTACATGAGATCTGACTAATATAGAAAGCGTGAATCCAGGAATTAGTTAAAGATACAATATAATACTATTATTAATTTAAACGGCAAAAATTCTACCAATAGTCTTACATCCCGATGCACATCATCCAGAAAGCGGATTATATAACAGACCATTTCATTGGCTAATCCTGCACATCAACCAGAAAACGGGTTATATAACAACTATTCCAGATCCTAGTGTTGTAAATTCAAGTAAAACGAAATTTTGAACTAAAAAAAAAGAAAAGAAATAGTATCTGTGTTTTAATCAGATTGCAAGGAAAAGGACATCAATGATATGTGTGTATGTGAAATATCTTGATTTAACGTCCTCTTCCACCTGGCTGTATTACTGCTTATATACCCTGATCTAAGGACAGGTGATTGTTACGTCACTTTTTGTTTACTTGAAACGTTGAATTTAGTGCATATTCTAGTGACGTCACAAGAAACATGCAATCAGAAATCAGAGAAGCCCGGAGGTTATAGTGGAATATAATTACATGCACACTTAATATATTTATTCACTTGAATTATAACTACTTCCTGTCATGCGTACGTGAAATGGTCTAATGGTATGAGTGGTCCGTCTTCATGATTATGAATTATTCGTGTTGGATAGATCCACATCTTCTTTCAATATACAACTATTTCCCACTATTGTTCCGGAAATGGACATCTGATAACTAGGGTAAGGTTTTCGTCGTTTACTCGCGTCACTCGAGTCGACTCCATTGCCGAGTTTACCCGGGTGAACCATCCCGAACGGTCCGAGTAGTCACATGACATCAAAACAGTTACGACGTCAGTATGTGATCGAGAGACAGGCTTTTTTGCGTATAGGACGCCATTTTGTCACGTGACAAACCCTTTTAATATTCGCTCAAGCGGAAGTAAACGGGTTAGTCAACTGATGCGACTCGAGTCAGTCATATGACCAACTCGATTCAAAACGCGAACGGTCTGGTGTCGACTCGAGTGACTCGGGTGAACAACGAAACCTTACCAAAGAACCAGTTTTCTTTTCTTCACGCAGTATACCCCTTCTGTTGAAGTTGACGATCAGTCCCACTTATTGTTTACCACTTGACTAACCTTGTTTTGACCCGTTAAATCAACTTGTATCTGTAGACCTCACCTGTAAACATCAACAATTGATAACATCATGATCACAATGGTGAGTTTATTTACGGATTGAGTAGTCGTAATCCGAATGGCGAATATCCCAGAACGATAGGGAGAATTATTTGCCATCCGTTTTATGCAATAAACCTAAAATTCTAGAAGATTGTTTGTGCTTCTATAGACCTAGGATCTTTTTTTATACGCCCACATTTTCATGTGAACGTATATTGTCGTCGCCCCTGTCTGTCCGGACGTCTGTCTGTCCACAATTGTTTGAGGACACTCTACAGGTCACAATATCCGATTTCAACGAAACTTGAAATACAGGCTTATCTCCCTAAGATCTTGATTCCTTTCGATATTGGCATGTATCGAACTGTAACTTCATGGATTGTGGCCCCTGATCGTACGCAACAATCGCATTTTTAGCTTGTGGACCCAATAAAGGTCATAATTTTTATCCGATTTTGTTGAAATGTAAGTTTATAACCCAAAGATCTTGGTTCCTTTCGATATTTGTGCATATCGAAACGTAACTTCCTGACTTATGGCCCCTGATTGTACGAAAAATTGCGTTTTTAGATTGTGGACCCTATAGAGGTCATAATTTTATCAGATTTAAAAAAATGTTGGAATACAGTACAAACGTTGTTGAGGTTTGACGACACACGATTATTGTGTCGTTTTTTGTTGAAAATTACCACGATATTGCAATGATAAATAATTTGGTATAGCAGTCGCTATCGTGTGCCACGATAGTTGTGTGACACAATAGGCCTTGGTGTAATTTTACTTGCAAAATTAACGGTATTTATTTGTCATAAACAATCGATGTCAAAACGATATACTGCCACGATGTAATGAATGTTGAATATTTTCGTTAATAATACGTTAGGCCACGTTTGTTTTGTGAGAACATGCATGTTCACATATTCTCCACGATATACACACGGTTATATTTCCAACCAGTCATGTAAAGCTGCGTGTCTAGTACATTTTAAAGGACACGTATGCATAAGACTATACATGTATTACACAGTTTAGATATTTGTGCTGTGTTCAAATTGTTTTGCATATTTACTGTATTAAGAGTGTATATACTCTTAAATTACGGCAAAGATAGACTTTTAAATTGCAAACTATAAAGGTATTTTGGTTATCGGTCTTACAAATAGAAATAAGACATAAATAGAACTTGCAACGGTATTTGAAAGTGCTTTCAAGTCAGACGTCAGCTCGTACTAACCATAAAAATTAACTGAACGCAACACAAGTCTCCGATGTAAGAGAATATTAGTTAATTATAACTGCTATCAAATCCACACAAACATCCAAGGCACTCGTTTTAATTTAGAAAAGAATAACTGTATTTCGATCGAAGAGCCTATTCCACATGAATCCCAAATCAATGATGAACTGTCAACTTGTTATGTAGTCATTCACGTCCAGATTGGTTTGAATAACAGAAATGTCCCGTGTATAAAAGATCAAAGAATAAAATTGCACGTAGCCACTTTGTTTTTTTCTAAAAGGGGCTCCTGCGCACTTTAAGGAATTATTTTTGACCCAATATTAACCACCGCCATTTTTTTTTTAATCATGGGATAATGTCAATCAACAAACAATACGGGTCTACTTTATTACAAAAACATTGGTGAATGACTACATAAACCCCATTTCTCTTTCTCTCTCTCTATTTTGTTATTAACCCAGAATTAAATGTTTACCAAATTATAAATCATTCTATGGGTCATTATTTGAGTAGGCCTACATGAGATCTGACTAATATAGAAAGCGTGAATCCAGGAATTAATTAAAGATACAATATAATACTATTATTAATTTAAACGGCAAAAATTCTACCAATAGTCTTACATCCCGATGCACATCATCCAGAAAGCGGATTATATAACAGACCATTTCATTGGCTAATCCTGCACATCAACCAGAAAACGGGTTATATAACAACTATTCCGGATCCTAGTGTTGTAAATTCAAGTAAAACGAAATTTTGAACTATAAAAAAAGAAACAAAATAGTATCTGTGTTTTAAACAGATATGTGTGTATGTGAAATATCTTGATTTAACATCCTCTTACACCTGGCTGTATTACTGCTTATATACCCTGATTTAAGGACAGGTGATTGTTACGTACATACGTTGAATTTAGTGCATATTCTAGTGACATCACAAGAAACATGCAATCATAAATCAGAGAAGCCTGGAGGATAGAGTGGAATATAATTACATGCAAACTTAATATATTTATTGACTTAAAATATAACTACTTCCTGTCATGCGTACGTGAAATGGTCTAATGGTATGAGTGGTCTGTCTTCATGATTATGAATTACTCGTGTTGGATAGATCCACATCTTCTTTCAATATACAACTATTTCCCACTATTGTTCCGGAAATGGACATCTGATAACTAGGGTAAGGTTTTCGTCGTTTACTCGCGTCACTCGAGTCGACTCCATTGCCGAGTTTACCCGGGTGAAACATCCCGAACGGTCCGAGTAGTCACATGACATCAAAACAGTTACGACGTCAGTATGTGATCGAGAGACAGGCTTTTTTGCGCATAGGACGCCATTTTGTCACGTGACAAACCCTTTTAATATTCGCTCAAGCGGAAGTAAACGGGTTAGTCACTTGATGCGACTCGAGTCAGTCATATGACCAACTCGATTCAAAACGCGAACGGTCTGGTGTCGACTCGAGTGACTCGGGTGAACAACGAAAACCTTACCAAAGAACCAGTTTTCTTTTCTTCACGCAGTATACCCCTTCTGTTGAAGTTGACGATCAGTCCCACTTATTGTTTTCCACTTGACTAACCTTGTTTTGACCCGTTAAATCAACTTGTATCTGTAGACCTCACCTGTAAACATCAACAATTGATAACATCATGATCACAATGGTGAGTTTATTTACGGATTGAATAGTCGTAATCCGAATGGCGAATATCCCAGAACGATAGGGAGAATTATTTGCCATCCGTTTTATGCAATAAACCTAAAATTCTAGAAGATTGTTTGTGCTTCTATAGACCTAGGATCTTTTTTTATACGCCCACATTTTCATGTGAACGGACGTGTCTGTCCGGACGTCTGTCTGTCCACAATTGTTTGAGGACACTACAGGTCACAATATCCGATTTCATGAAACTTGAAATACAGGCTTATCTCCCTAAGATCTTGATTCCTTTCGATCTTGGCATGTATCGAACTGTAACTTCATGGATTGTGGCCCTGATCGTACGCAACAATCGCATTTTTAGCTTGTGGACCCAATAAAGGTCATAATTTTTATCCGATTTTGTTGAAACTCGAAATGTAAGTTTATAACCCAAAGATCTTGGTTCCTTTCGATATTTGTGCATATCGAAACGTAACTTCCTGACTTATGGCCCCTGATTGTACGAAAAATTGCGTTTTTAGATTGTGGACCCTATAGAGGTCATAATTTTATCAGATTTAAAAAAATGTTGGAATACAGTACAAACGTTGTTGAGGTTTGACGAAACACGATTATTGTGTCGTTTTTTGTTGAAAATTACCACGATATTGCAATGATAAATAATTTGGTATAGCATTCGCTGTCGTGTGACACGATAGTTGTGTGACACGATAGTTGTGTGACACAATAGGCCTTGGTGTAATTTTACATGCAAAATTAACGGTATTTATTTGTCATAAACAATCGATGTCAAAACGATATACTGCCACGATGTAATGAATGTTGAATATTTTCGTTAATAATACGTTGGGCCACGTTTGTTTTGTGAGAACACGCATGTTCACATATTCTCCACGATATACACGCGGTTATATTTCCAACCAGTCATGTAAAGCTGCGTGTCTAGTACATTTTAAAGGACACGTATGCATAAGACTATACATGTATTACACAGTTTAGATATTTGTGCTGTGTTCAAATTGTTTTGCATATTTACTGTATTAAGAGTGTATATACTCTTGAATTACGGCAAAGATAGACTTTTAAATTGCAAACTATAAAGGTATTTTGGTTATCGGTCTTACAAATAGAAATAAGACATAAATAGAACTTGCAACGGTATTTGAAAGTGCTTTCAAGTCAGACGTCCGCTCGTACTAACCATAAAAATTAACTGAACGCAACACAAGTCTCTGATGTAAGAGAATATTAGTTAATTATAACTGCTATCAAATCCACACAAAAATCCAAGGCACTCGTTTTAATTTAGAAAAGAATAACTGTATTTTGATCGAAGAGCCTATTCCACATGAATCCCAAATCAATGATGAACTGTCAACTTGTTATGTAGTCATTCACGTCCAGATTGGTTTGAATAACAGAAATGTCCCGTGTATAAAAGATCAAAGAATAAAATTGCACGTAGCCACTTTGTTTTTCTAAAAGGGGCTCCTGCGCACTTTAAGGAATTATTTTTGACCCAATATTAACCACCGCCATTTTTTTTTTAATCATGGGATAATGTCAATCAACAAACAATACGGGTCTACTTTATTACAAAAACATTGGTGAATGACTACATAAACCCCATTTCTCTCTCTCTCTATTTTGTTATTAACCCAGAATTAAATGTTTACCAAATTATAAATCATTCTATGGGTCATTATTTGAGTAGGCCTACATGAGATCTGACTAATATAGAAAGCGTGAATCCAGGAATTAATTAAAGATACAATATAATACTATTATTAATTTAAACGGCAAAAATTCTACCAATAGTCTTACATCCCGCACATCATCCAGAAAGCGGATTATATAACAGACCATTTCATTGGCTAATCCTGCACATCAACCAGAAAACGGGTTATATAACAATTATTCCAGATCCTAGTGTTGTAAATTCAAGTAAAACGAAATTTTGAACTATAAAAAACGAAACGAAATAGTATCTGTGTTTTAACCAGATTGCAAGAAAAAGGACATCAATGATATGTGTGTATGTGAAATATCTTGATTTAATGTCCTTTTCCACCTGGCTGTATTACTGCTTATATACCCTGATCTAAGGACACGTGATTGTTATGTACACACGTCACTTTTTGTTTACTTGAAACGTTGAATTTAGTGCATATTCTAGTGACGTCACAAGAAACATGCAATCAGAAATCAGAGAAGCCCGGAGGTTATAGTGGAATATAATTACATGCACACTTAATATATTTATTCACTTGAATTATAACTACTTCCTGTCATGCGTATGTGAAATGGTCTTATGATGTGAGTGGTCTGTCATCATAATTATGAATTATTCGTGTTGGATAGATCCACATCTTATTTCAATATATAACTATTGCAGAATTGTTCCGGAAATGCACATTGGATAACAAAGAACTAGTTATCTTTAGTCCCGCTTATTGTTTACCAGATCTGTGACCTTGTTTTGATCCGTTAATTCAACTTGTATCTGTAGACCTGACCTGTAAACATCAACAGTTGACAATAACAACACAATGGTGAGTTCATTTTCGGATTGAATATTCGTAATCCGAATGGCGAATATCCCAGAACGATAAAGAGAGTTATTTGCCATCCGTTTTATGCAATAAACCTAAAATTCTACTGTCTGAACCATTGTAAATTTTAAAAGCTCCTATAGCGATCAGGAGAATTATTTGCCACCCGTTTAATGCCAATAAACTCAAAATTCTAGTAGTAAGTTTGTGCTTTTATAGACTAAGAATTTCTTTTTAAATATCATTATCTAGAGGACACAAGTTTTACCAGATTTTAAAAACCGCTTAAAGGAGCTAAATCGCTAACATTTGGGACCTAGAAATTGACAAAAGTGGGTCACAACGCATATAATACTGTAATATGAATGTATATAAACTTATTTACATTCAATGGTTTCGGTTTTTACTCCAATTTCAAATCAGTTATGTTCGGCGAAATGAGCCAGCAGTCTCAAGCGAGTGCAAATTTCTAGCGTCTGGTTATTCCAGTCTACATACGCCGTTTAATTTGGTGCAATGTGTCTAGCCTCGTCCCTCGAGTCTCTTGATACAACTGGGGCTGAAGCGCATTATGGTACACGATTCGTGTACCAATGGTAAAATGTTTATTTTGTCTTAAATATTGGATATCAAAAGCCCATCTTTTTCCGGTAAGATCACAACATGAATGTTGATTTAATTTGACAAATAAATCGTGTTTTCAATGTTGAAGATTTTGGATGATATTGAGTTAGAGACTTAGCTACTTTAAAGCGGGAATTTCATATTTTCTAACAAAGTCAAAACATACTTATTTCTGTCTTTTGCTCAATAGGTTATCAACTCACTATTATACGACTGTGGGCATTATTTCCCACCCTTAAAAATCATTGACACAGGAAATAATAACACAATTACCTCCCTTGTTTTCCTATTGCCTCAATGCATTAGCTACCCTCAAACGTTTGAATTTGAAGAGGAAAATGATATTTTTGCCAATTTCTCAGCTGGCAATAGTGAATTATAGGATTAATATAGGGTTATTCTTTAACTAGGTAGGACGGTTTATAGATACCATCTATTTTAAGGCTTTATTTTAATAAAAATTTTAAAAATATAACTTAAAAATATGAAATTGTAGCTTTAAATAGATCACTGTTCCACCATAATGAAGTGAAGTGATTTGCCAAATTCAGGAAGGTTAGATACAGGCTAATGGAATCTACCAATCGACAACGCCATCAGAACACTATAAAATACAGTAGAATCTGTATGAGCAGCCATTCCTATTCAGCGACATCTCCTTGTAAGCGGTCACGATAAATTCCCCCCTGTAAAAATTCTATTGTTTCATCTCTTTATTCAACGGTCACTCCTCTAACGTGGCCAGCGGTCATTATTTTACTAATAAATTTAACAAAACATCGCCCATTCAACGGCCATTCGTAACACCTCCACTAATCCTGTGAGTAGTAGTTAATTAACTGGACCCCCACTGATCAGGTAAAAAGAAATGTGAAAATAACAATAAACCCGGGATTATCTGTTAATTAATCTTTTGTTTTATTAAACGACTAACCTGATCATTGTTTTCACTCGTAATGAAATATTATTTGATACTGATTGAATAAAATAAAAGTACCGACGAAGGGGAGTTTTGTCACGATCATCTAGTATCTCTTTTCCATTTCCACTTTGTTGTTAAACAGACGTTTTAGCGCCTCCTATAATATTGCATACAGAGTTACATCCCCTGTAAATCGGTGATAAAATCAGCGATGTTTTTTTGTTCATGTGCTTTTTTGATAAAATAAAATTAATTCATCGTTTTTCTTCACAAATATGGATAAATATTATCGAATGCATCACAATGGTAGACAGTAGTATCGATGGTTGGTACAAAATGACAAGTTTACAGAAGTTACGTCCGAGATTTGAGTAAAGAATTTTCGTTCAGTGCAAGATTAAGCGACGGTCAAATTTACCGATGAAAGTATTGATGTTTGCTTCCAATGCATCCAAGCATAATATTTAATTGATATCAGCACAAAAGCACCGAGATTTTATTAAGATGCCACTCCCGTTAAGCGGTCAGTCGTGAAAATTCCCTTGGGGGGCTGCTTAATGCAGATTCTACTGTACTGTATAAAATGACCTGGTCTACTAAACAAGCGACCATGATACCTATAATCAACTGGTCTGCCAGACAGGCGACCACTTGTAATCTGTAATAAAACACACACTATTTCAGCTAATCAACACTCTTATATAAGGCACATGCACTCCAAGATTATACAAGAGTTTGGGCGATCCATATAGGTAGTCAAGTTTCGGCAACCCATTAATTCAGTTGAGTTTGGGAGAGCCAAACCTACTCTGAACGTTAGAAACCTGTCAAGTTACGAAATCACTACAGAAGGTTGAGTTTGAATTTCAGGAAAATTGAAACGAAACTGCCCAACAAAATGGCCATTGCTTGTAATACAAAGGTTGTTGACTCTCTAGAGGTCACAAATTTTGTCTGAGTTTGATGAAATTTGAAATTTATCTTTATATCCCAAAGATCTCAGATCTTTCGATATTCGCACATCAGACCATAACTTCTACTGTCCCATGATTGTACGACAAATTGTGTTTTTTTTTGTTGTTTTTTTTTTTTAGCTCGTTCTCTATCCATCTCTTGCAAAATGTGGACATATCCTGCCTGGCAACCGCTCGTTTTTCTTGGAAAAATCATAACAGAGTATTCGATAATTGGACATAAACTTTTTGACACCCTTCTTTCTTATTCCATTCGTTTTTATTTCATTTTTATCTGTAGCCTTGTGTTTTCAACTGCATATTTCATTTTCAACTACATTTTCCCATGGTACTTTCTCTTGTAGTCACCTCCTTTCAATGACAGTGTGTCAATCAGCGTTTGTTGTAGTAATTATTTTCGCATTTTGATTGTAACAAAATTGATGTATGTTAATTATGTAGGACGAAGTTAAACTATTTTAAGTGCTTGGTAGCATTATTCTACGATCAGACATTGTGAAAAGACAGAATAATGCTTTTAAAAATAATGATGGCAAATAACAAAACCGAATGGTGAATTACTCTTTGCTATCCACTGTTTATTTATGGATATGGTAACCTCTTTCAGCTGATTCGGACCAAATGTTATAGCAGATTTAGACCAAGTTCTTAGCTAATTTGGACCAGCATCAGGGTGATTTGGACCATATGATAAGGAATGCTAGAAACCGAGATTCAGACATTGAACTTTTATCCAGACCATATCATGAATATCTGCTTTTATTTACAACAATTTGTGATGATTTTAATAAAACATACACATTTTAACCAGTAACCCAGTGGCACAATGAAAAGGTTATGTTATTGGGAATAAATTAAAGATACATTATGGGAGATTAGATAAAGAGCTGACAATTCTCACTATAATAGTTAAAAAATAGATATGTAACAGGAATATTCTGAAAATTTCAGTCAAATTACTTTTGTCCAAGCCGAGAAATACTCGTTTTCAAACCTTGTAGCCTTGATTGTCATTGTTAGCGCTGCCACGATAAGTAACAAAGTCTTGATTATCCATTTTATCATTTAATCATAAACAGACATTGAATAGCACATCGGATTCAATTCGATTGAAAATCGGACAGATAAGATGGCATAGAAAGTTGATTATGGCCTGGATCAGTTAAACATGCATTATGCAAGAGCAAAATCTGTTTATTACAAGTCTTTGTTTAGGCCTGAAATGTTATCTAAATTATCAATTAGACATTAATTAACTTATCCAGACCATAATAAACTCTCGATGTCAAGGCTAGCCTTCGATGTTGGCTGGATTAGATTCCTATATGCCGCTAATGGCCGTTGATAATTAAATCAGAAAAAGTGGATAATCGAGACTATGCTGTTTATATTACCTTTACACTATCTAGTTTTTAACTATTATAGCGAGAACTGCCATCTTTATTGTATCTTTAATTAATGTCTAATTAATAGTTTATATAACATTTCAGGCGTAAAGAAAGACCTGCAATAGGCAGATTTAGCTCTTAATTAATGTATGTTTAATATATAGAAAAGAATCAAATTATTTTAGTCTACCTCACAGATGGGATTTCGCCCATATATTCCGGACTTGTCTGACGCTATTTTCCAAAGGACCAAAATTGTCCGACCGGGAATATGCCCAATCGGTCATCAAGACATTTTGAATAATATTCAAATTTCCAAAATTAATATAGTGTACCGAATGTATAACTACCACTCAACCCGATTATCGTTGATGATAGGCTGGATTGATTAGATAATTAAGTGATCAACGTATTTATCGTTTTATACTGCCTATACACCTACCTTGATTAACTACTTAATCTGCCATGATTGACTGATAGCACTTTGGTGGAATCAAGCGTTAAATAAAGCATAAATAATACTATTTCGCAAACGCAATACAAGACAATGCAAGCTCTGTCTGATCGCACGCAGTTATAGTACAATAACTAAAACTAAAAGTAGACACACAAAGTTATGAAATGAATATGTGAAAAGTTTCATACTCTAATGTCGGAGAAAAGATTCTATTATGATGGCATATTCTCGGATTAATGATCACATTTTGAATGGGATTTATGTTTATAAATAAATAAGTACGCTAGGAAATGTTGACGAATATGTCGATTGGAATAGTGTAAGTAGTTAATTGTTTTAGACAATAGCGCGTGCTAGAGTCGAATGCGATTATTTTGCAGTTGGTGTCACTTGCTCGTTGTGGTAGAGCGACGTTTACTGCCAAATAAGTTTAGGGATGCCAATTTTTTTACCTTCCCTATATATAAGTAGAAACGGAGTATAAGACAAATGCCAGACTTCTGCTGAAAAATGTTTCGACTTATGACTCGAGAAATACGGTAATTTTGGAGGAATTTAAACAGGTAAGTATCAGCAGTAGTCAGCGCGCTTTCATTCTATCGTATTACGACATCACATAATTTTGTAGGCATATAACGAGGTGCAGATATTTTTTTATTATGTACGAATATGAATATTTTGTTGACACATGATTTTTGTGTGTGGTCTAAAACTGCCTGCTTAAATGTTGATAAGAGTTATTTCCCTTTATTTTCGGTAAAAATGTCTGACAAGAAAAATTTGAAATCCCATCACTGGTCTACCTTACTCAGAAAATAGACATTGGTTGCTAGGCTATAATGATGTTATAACTTTTATATATTACAGGATATTGATGATGTTATAACCTTTATATATTACAGGATATTGATGATGTTATAACTTTTATATATTACAGGAAACTAATGATGTTAAAACTTTCCATCAGTGTGTTGTATGTGATGAGATTTTTCAACAATATGATGATTTAGAAAAACACAATAAGATACATATTAAAGAAGAGAAAACTGATGATGTAGATGAATATTGTCATGTTAAAGAAGAAGAGAAAACTGATGATGTAGATGGATATTGTCATGTTAAAGATGAGAAAACTGATGATGTAGATGGATATTATCATGTTAAAGAAGAGAAAACTGATGATGTTGAAACTGTTTATCAGTGTAATTTGTGTGATGAAGAATTTAAATTAGAAACTGATTTAGAGAAACACTGTGAAATACATGTTAAAGAAGAGGATTCTGTTTTACAACATGGTAAATGTGATATTTGTGATATGTCGTTTAGTAAGAATAGTTGTCTAAAATTACACAGGATAATTCATACTGGAGCGAAAACGCTTCCATGTAATGTTTGTAGTAAATCATTTAGTCAGAAAGGACATCTACAGAGACACATGAGAATTCATACTGGTGAAAAACCTTATATATGTGATGTTTGTAGTGAATCATTTAGTCAGAAAGGACAACTACAGAGACACATGAGAATTCATACTGGCGAAAGGCCTTATAAATGTGATGTTTGTAGTAAATCATTCACAGGCAGTAGTCAACTACAGAGACACCTCAGAATTCATACTGGCGAAAAACCGTTTGAATGTGATGTTTGTAGTAAATCATTTAATGTGAGTGGTTCTCTACAAACACACATAAGAATTCATACTGGTGAAAAACCTTATAAATGTAATGTTTGTAGTAAATCATTCACACATAGTAGTTCTCTACGGTCACACATTAGAACTCATACTGGCGAACACTCATTTCAATGTGATGTTTGTAGCAAATTATTTACACAGAAAAATAATCTACAGAGACACATGAGAATTCATACTGGCGAACACTCATTTCAATGTAATGTTTGTAGTAAATCATTTGTTACGAATAGTCATTTGAAGAGACACATGAGAATTCATACTGGAAAAAACCCTTATAATTGTGATGTTTGTAGTGAATCATTTACTCGGAGTTGTTCTCTAGAACAACACATAAGATCTCATACACTAGGAAAAAACGTATGATTCTGGTGTTAGTCTTTTAGTGTGCAAACACACAGGAGAAAAACTTATAAATGTAATATTTGTAGTAAATCGTTCAAAGTGGTTCTATACACCATCATAAACATTTAAACAAACAAGCACAAAAGGAATTGTGAGCAAACAAACCTTTCCATCTCCCCTCCTTCGATTGAAATGAAATAAAATGTTGTTTAATGTCCTACTGGTCTCCTCAAACCGGGCTCATATAGATGGGCATACGTCATGCTTTTTGCTGTGGGAGTCATAAAGATGGGCATATGTCATGCCTTTTGCTATGGGGGTAATAAAGATGGGCATATGTCATGCCTTTTGCTATGGGGGTAATAAAGATGGGCATATGTCATGCCTTTTGCTATGGGGGTAATAAAGATGGGCATATGTCATGCCTTTTGCTATGGGGCTCATAAAGATGGGTACACACCATGCCTTTTGCTATGAGCGTAATAAAGATGGGCATATGTCATGCCTTGTGCTATGAGGGTAATAAAGATGGGCATATGTCATGCCTTGTGCTATGAGGGTAATAAAGATGGGCATACGTCATGCCTTGTTCTATGAGGGTAATAAAGATGGGCATACGTCATGCCTTGTGCTATGAGCGTAATAAAGATGGGCATGCTTTTATTTCAAATTCCAACTGCTAATGGTTCTTTTAAGAGCACGACAACACGCACAAAGGACCCAGGATTTTTGCCCTATCCAAATGACTGCACCAAATATATTCCCATTTGTTAATTAAGTCAAATGTAATACTGGAGTAAGGTCTGTCATTGAGTCAACTGGCATAGTTTGAATTCCCCAGTTGTACATGACAAGGCGTTGGGTCGCCTGTCCAACCTCGTGGGTTTTCTCTGGGTCCTCCAGTTTCCTCCAACTGCTAAAGACCCCTACACACATGCGAATTATTGAAATAAAATTGAAAAATATGTTAGTCTCGAAATAACGGTTTTAGATTTACCTCACAAAATGTCAGGCATTAATGAAAGAGTACCTGACATTTTCAACTTATTGCCGGACATGTATTAATAATATCAACAAAAAAGACAGATCAGTGCCAGACAAAATGACAGGCACCAGAGGTTTTGTGCCTGACAAAGCCTGAATCTGTGCCTGACATTGTCTGTGACAGGTGCCTTATTCCCAGGCTTGCGGAAATAATCTAGTTTTGTGTTAAGTGGATGTTAAACCCCATTTCTCTCTCTCTTTAAATTTGTAAGCTCTAGAAATTGAAACTCTTCTCATGGAATGGGCAGAAAAATAGAAGTATTAATTCCAGCAAGAGCCATAATTTCTTTAGTCCAGGGGGGTTGGATGGCTGAATGGTTAGCGTGCGCGCGCTGTATCATAAAGTCTGTCATTTAGTCGACTGGCGTGGTTTCGAATCCCCGGTTATACGTGACAAGGAGTAGGGTCGCCTGTCCAACCTCGTGGGTTTTCTCCGGGTCGTCTGGTTTCCTCCCACTGCTAAAGACTCCTACCCGCAAGCGAATTATTGAAATAAAATTAAACCATGTTAGTCCCGAAATGACCTAGTTTGTGTCGAGTGGACGCTAAACCTCATTTCTCTCTCTTTCTTTAGTCCACCTGTTTTGGTAGAAACAGAAATGTGTATGACTTTCTTCTGCTTTCAGTCGATTTCAAGTATTGTCTTAAGAGTAAATCATGGACAAATTTTATTGTTTTTGAAACTTTTGATTTTAATTAATTTTAATGGATTGGAGACTTTGGTTGTTTTAAGGACCTTATCTATAATAAAAATTATATAGAAACCACTACCAATCAGACCATTAATACTTGCACTGAAACCACTATCCATCAGATCATTAATAGTTATACAGAAACCACTATCAATTTGTTTGTGGACACTCTCCAGGTCACAATTCTTATCCGGTTTTTGACGAAACTTAAAATATAGGTTTATCTCCAAAAGATCTTGGCTGCTTTCGATATTGGCATGTATCGGATCGAAACTTCATGGATTATGGCCCCTGTTTGTACGAAAAATCACGTTTTTAGCTTGTGGACCCTATAGAGGTCACAATTTTATCTGATTTTGTTGAAACTTGAAATGTAAGTTTATAACCCAAAGATCTTGGTTCCTTTCGATATTCGCGCATATTGGACTGTAACTTCCTGAATTATGGCCCCTGATTGTACGAAAAATCGCATTTTAGCTTGTGGACCCTATAGAGGTCATAATTTTTATCCGATTTAAAAAAATGTATTATTATATCACCGTTACATCCTAAGTACGGTTGAGTTCGAATTTCATGAAAATCAGCCCAAAACTGACAGACAAAATGGCCGCCCTTTGTTCTCAGATAGCGTAAAAATATGGTATATCAAGGTTGTGGACCCTTTAGAGGTCACAATTTTTATCCAATTTTGTTGAAACTTGAAATGTATGTTTATAACCCACAGATCTCGGTTCCTTTCGATATTCGCGCATATCAGACCGTAACTTCCTGAATTATGGCTCCTGATTGTATGAAAAATCATGTTTTTAGCTTGTGGACCCTATAGAGGTCAAAATTTTATCCGATTTAAAAAAACGTATTATTATATCACCGTTACACCCTAAGGATGGCTGAGTTCGAATTTCGATTTTCGATTTTGTTGAAACTTGAAATGTAAGTTTATAACCCAAAGATCTCGGTTCCTTTCGATATTTGCGCATATCGAATTGTAATTTCCTGAATTATGGCCCTTGAAAAATCACTTTCTTTTTAGCTTGTTCTCTATCCATCTCTCGAAAATGTGGGCATATCCTGCCTGGCAGCCGCTGTTTTTTTTATCATATATGTTCTTCATAATTTTGGAGACCAGTGGCTCATATTTGAAGAGTCCCAGAGAAGAACGATCTAAGTCACATTTTCTACGAACCCCAGTTAATGGCGCCATATGGTAGCAAATTGTATAGGCTTTCTGTGGAACAATCAATTTCAGGTAAAAACGATCAGAGTCACATCGAACCAAGGCCCTTCTGAAATGGCCTTCCGGACAAATACGTCCTTCGTACCCTTTATTTGACCTTAATTTGGCTGATAAGTGGAAGTCAGTTTTTGTACTGGTATTTGTGATTCGTATTAATCATCATTTTGAAGTTGTAATTAAACCCACTCATTGTTCTGTTCGCGTCAAACATTCTCGTCAAAAAGTCTGTTTTGCCTTTTATGTGGAAAGACAAAAATGTGACTTAGATCGTTCTTCCCCTGGACTCTTCATTTGAGATAATGTTTTGCTAGAATGATTGTCTGATGATAAAAAGCTCAAATAACTGATAACATCAATTATAGATCGATTCAGCTCACCAACTTTCCTCTGATTGGACCAAAATCGCCATTGTCTCCATACAAGATCATATTGTTTATTGGTCTCTGTTAAACAAGATCCAATAATGAGTTCACTAGACCTGTCTGATATTCGGGGATCCACGGTGGCTCGGGTAAGACACTGGCTTGTTAGCCTGGAGGAAGTGTGTTCTATCGACAAAGTTCATCAAGATTTTTCAACGTGATTTCCCCTTGTTAGTGGTGGGGCGGAGAGTCTGACAAGGGCAACTGTCTAGTCGTTCGACTGGAACGAAAAACCGAGGTCCTGTGTAGAGTGGTTCCCCCTTGTCAGTGATGCAGGATGGAGGGCCTGACAAGGGCAGCTGTCTAGTCGTTCAGCTGGAACGAAAAACCAAGGTCCTGTGTACACATTGGTGTGCACATAAAAGATCCCTTGACATTGGTATTCGATATAAGAGTAGGCGTAGTACCGCTGCCTGGACAAAATTCCCCGCACAACACACTGTATGGCGTAAGTCTGTCTTCATTAGCCCAGTTCGGAGCAGAACAGTAGGATGTTAAACCCCATTTCAATTCACCTAGACTTTATTTTCTTGTCATATACCAATGGTGGCTCACTTGCAGACCTAGATATATATGCGTGCAACCTGTAAGTGATACCTTACATATATTTATAGACACATTCCCATGTACCTGGTCCTCTGGTTTCCTCTCACTGCTAAAGACCTCTAAGCGAATTATTGAAATAAAATTGAACCACATGTTAGTCCCGAAATGACCTAGTTTGTGTCGAGTGGACGTTAAACCCCATTTCTCACTCTCCCATGTACATACCTGCTTGTGGTTGATCTTCCCCTGAAGTTTCCTTCCAATCCTAGGATCTTCTGTTCTGGAAACCTTGTCCTAAAAAAGATCTTCTAATGGACCTAGTTTGTTAGATTGATAAACCTCCTTCATTCTGTTGATAGCATCAGGCCCCAAAAAGGTATCTCTCCTACAGGTCTTGTTGTTAAGCATAAAGGGCAATAACTCCTACAGTGATAATAGAATCCACCATGGTATTTTGAAATTCCTGGTTATTAAATTTGGAAAATAAACCCAAGAGAGAGAGAAATGGGATTTAACGTCCACTCGACGCGCATAAGGGTCTTTAGCAGTGGGAGGAAACCGCAGAAAATGGTAAAATTCCATTCCTAAATTTGGAATATTGGCTGAGCGTTAGTTTCAAAATGGCAGCCAGATTAAAATGAAAGTTGTATATGTTTTTGTATCGCACAATTCTAGGTGAAAATAGTGTTGGATTTCTATAAATGTGGCAAGAGACGATTCCTTTTGGCGACCAAAGAAGGATCCCTGTGAAAAATAGACGGTATGGATTCCAAAATAGCCTTAGAACCAAGATGGGGGAAAAGCCTTATTTTCATATTAGTTGTCATTAGGGCTTGGCAGTAACGTAGTAGAGAGCAGAGCCGATACAATTTACGATACTAAAGTAACTATGGCATACCATACTGAGAGAGAGAAATGGGGTTAAATGTCCACTCGACACAGACTAGGTCATTTCGGGACTAACATATTGTTTAATTTTATTTCAACAATTTGTTTGCGAGTAGGGGGGAAACTGGAGGACCTGGAGAAAACCCACGAGGTTGGACAGGCGAACCTACTCCTTGTCACGTACAACCGGGGATTTGAAACCACGTCAGTTGACTCAATGACAGGCCTTGTGATGTAGCGTGCATTTGCTATCCATTCGGCCATCCCCCCCCCCCTCCTTCCATACTATGAAGACCTACACAGAAAAAATGTCAGCATTGTTTTTTTGTAATTCAAATTCAAAACCTACAAAATAAAGCTTGTTCCACGATTTCTAACCCAAAAGCCGACGAATTTACTGTAAAGATCGGATTATTATGCGCCATGAGCACGTTTGGTCGATATACCGCTTTATATAGAGCGAAGCTCTAAAGCACCGCGCAAAGCGTGGTGCTTGAGCAAAGCTCTTTTCCGGTAACACAGGAGCGTAATTAAAAATGTCACCCACAGACTGTTAATTAAAAAAAAATTCAGACCGGAACTTACGAAATCTCAACCAAACGCGATCACGTAACTAACAAAAATAATTCTACACACCAAATCTCGCCCAAGCGAGATTACGCACCTCACAGAACTATTTCTATGACATGTCTAATCAATGACGTCACATATTTTTTACGTCAATGAAAATAATTCTAACACTTTTTTGTTCTTTTTTTAAAAACAAAATTAATGTATAAAATTAAAATCTAAATAAAAATCAATCTTGGAAAACTAAATTATTTAACATTTTTTGTATCACTTGAGAAAATTAATTATGAAGGTTTTATATTTGTCAATAATTAGCTTCGCTCTACTCTGGCAATGCCTGTTACATATTAAATGGTCATATTATTATTATTATTATTTATTATGAGTTATTCGTGTGGGATAGATTCACATCTTCTTTCAATATACAACTATTTCAATGTTGTTCCGGAAATGAACATGGGATAGCGAAGAAAGCGGTTTTCTTTATTCCATCTCACTTCTATTGTTAAACCGCCACTCATAGATATCCTATACAGACTAGATAGGCCATAAAGCCAAGTGCGCATCATCAGTAACGTCACAATACGCCGCCATCTTGAAGGTTGTAGACGTAAACAGGAAGTACTAGTAGGGTCATGTAGTTTGTCTTATCGCAATGCCTTCGAAAGGACCCCAATGCTATGCTATAAATTGTACCACGTACAAGAATCCACAGAGCCGAGCGGAAGGCGTCACATTTCACAAGTAAGTGTATTATAAGCTACACAAATTAGAAAAAGTCCGTGCATTACCATGTTTTTATTAAGAACAGAATGAATAAAAACGGGGGAATGCACGGGATTTTTCTATTTTTCTCGTGTTCCTTATCTAGTGACAGCCAATTCTATTTTTGAATTGTGAGATACCCTCTCACCGTCCCATATAATAACTTTTCATCTTCAACTGAATTATCAGTGAAATGAAATTTGATCGTTTGTCTGTTATCGCTCGTTACTTCAGTCAGTTATATAGAAGGACAACTCGTGTTTGTCATGTTTGACGTCACTTCCCGTTTCTTCACGTGCTTGTTACACATCTCCCGTAGCAATGATCTCTGTTAAAATTATATTTGGAATGTATTTAACCAGTTCTATCACATATGTAATAATGACTGACACCAATATTGTCCTTTAAAGCTAACAACAGTTTCGTACATGCGCAAGTTCCCAGGAGCAAACACACAACAGGAGTCAATTCAAACTGTCACAGCGGGACTGTAATGATAGAGGATTCTCTCAAAATAAAACAAACTCACAATAAACAAAAAAACTTAGCAATATGTTGAACGAATGGTGTTGTAATATTGCCCTGTATAATACAGGTGTCCGTCAGGATAACCGGGACTACTTCCACCTATCCACAGAGTCCCGTGCTAACAGCGGGATTTAACCTATTATTGTAAAAACGGGTGTTTATCTGACACTTAGATCAGGTCTAACCCAATAGCTTCACCCACCTAACCAGTGATGGCCAGAGTAAGGCTTGATGGGTCAAGGGATGACTCCTTGCATGTACAGCCCAGGACAACTAGCTAGTCAGCTATATATATAAGGGTACTTATGAACCACTGGTAGGGTGACCCACCATAAATAAATATCTCCATATATCTCGACAATTTCGCCACAATATTTATATATATGCCAAGCCTCAAATCAGTTTCACACAATTATAGTCACTAAATAAACGATCATGTTGTACTTAATAAGCTATGACCATTAATCATCTATAAATAATAGACTGAAAACTGGTTCCATGTGTCGTCCATAACATCCAGACACTTTTGAGTAAAAGATAGGTTACGTGCCCTTGTTTTGAAATTAGAGTCGCTTAACCAGTCTATCGACCATTCTAAGGCTGATTGACAGGTCGGGATAATTAAGACTACTTTTTTACGAAACATAACAGAAAGCTAGAACAAGAAATTGAATTAAGAAATGAGCACGTTAGCTAGCTCAACAATTATTTTAAGAAGCTTGTAAAAGTAAAATGAAACTACTGCTAGTATCATGTTCCTGTCTAACCCGAGTGTTTCAGAGATAGTATTTGTACTAAACCAAAAGATGCCGCTCTTAACAGTACAGTTAATGATAAAGCGATTTAAAAAATGAAACGAACGTAATTTCTAAATCTGCTGTAATAACCAAAAAGCTTAATTTTACTGCTATTCAAAATCGTCAACAATAAATTTTTTACGGCTGTAATAGTTGATAGATTTGTAGAGAATTGCACGTGCCATGGCTATTTATAGTATCATATTGTCAGAAAGTTGGCCTCGACACGGCGAATGTGCACGCTTCAGTGGTAGTCTCGAACTATCAGCGGTTGACTGTATTTCTGTAGGTGCATGGGCCACCCTACCACTGGTCGATAGCCTGATCAAGCTATGTAAACTTCTGATTTCTGTCTTCTAAATCACAACACCAATTCTTGTCCAACACAGCTGGGTTACACCATTCAAAGTAATATCACAACAGGATATAGAAAGTGAGCATGTGCATATGAATGTGGCCTTTTATAACTTCTAAAAGCACATGCTTGGTCCAGTCTACTATTAAAACTGGCCCAGTCCATTGTAGACAAGGGAGACTGGGCAATTTTACTACACTATGTATTGCTGTTTTGCCGTAGCTACGGCTCAGATTATGCTTTAAACTTCAAATAGGTGTTATTGTTGCGGACGCCTTGGAGCACCAAGTGGGTACTTGTAGAAATACCCTCGATCACCATAATGGTGTCTCTTATTCTTCAATTAGTGCTGACCGCCAGCCAGACCATCAATGATTGATTATGGCTTTCAGTCCGACTTGCTTATTTCTTGTGTACCTGCAATAATCGAAAATCCTCCATTGTTTGTATAAATGATCTGTCCTTCGCATTTTTTAATAAATAATGAAATAGTAAAGAATTGATAATCTTGATATCTGTCGCAATTGAAGGTGAAATTAATTTTCTTTTTTAATTGTCAGGTTTCCAAGTGCTGAAAAAAATCCAGATCTTCTACGTGTATGGATTGGCAACTGTAAGAGAATGAAACAACCGTCTAAGCACAGCCTTGTGTGCAGTAAGCATTTTGAAGATGCTTGTTTTGACCGGACTGGCCAAATAACTCGCCTGAGAGAAGGAGTAGCCCCGACTATTTTCAGTCTGCCTCCTTATTTACAGGTAAGACTTTGCTGAATTTGGGACGCTGGCTTGCTAGACTGGAGGTCGGGTGTTTGATCCCTGCATTGGCCGCGAAAGTTCATCCAGATTTTCCAACGTGGTTCCCTCTTGTCAGTGATGCAGGACGGAGGGCCTGACAAGAACAGCTGTCTAGTCCTTTGGAAGTTCAACGTTAAGCGAATTAGGCCGTAGTGCCACTGTCTGGACAAAATGTCCCTCACAGCACACTGTATGGCGTATGCCCGTCTTTATTATCCCAGTCGGAGCAGAACAGTAGGACGTTAAACCCCATTTCATTTCATATTGCTGAATTTGGTTCCTCACTCTCTAGATGTTTAACTGTTTTATTCTGTCGGTCCCATCGGTCATTGTCTATGTAATATCATAATATTATTATATTATGCTTGGTTCACATCATAAATGTTGAATAAGTATTTTGTGGCCCTTAAAGGATTAAATTCCTTACAGTGTATTTCTAGTTTCTGTCATATTTTGTGATCAACAAATAAATCATTATTTTACTCTTTTAGCAAAAAATGTCCAAAGTAAGGAGTACCTTGAATTCATGCAATGAACAGCTTGAAGAAATTGAATCAGGAGGCAAAGCTTGAAACTGCCAGAAAGAAATTTCATAATTGCCAGAGACGAGAGCAAATATCAAAACAAACTTGTCAAGTTCTGGTGCATGATCTATATGAAAAGAAAACGATCAATATTTTAAAGAAATTTCAAAAGTAACATTTCTTCAACATACCAAGTTTGACATTTCTTACAAGTATATAACTGATTGCATATTGTGTAATGATCTGATCGAATAATTATATTTAAATTGTGTGTAGTTTCCTGTTTTATCTGGATTATCTCCCTTTATATATTACAGGAAACTAATGATGTTATAACTTTTATATATTACAGGAAACTAATGATGTTATAACTTTTCATCAATGTACAATATGTGATGAAATGTTTCAACAACTTGATGATTTAAAAAGCCACTACAAGGTACATGTTAAAAAAGAGAAAATTGATGATGTAGATGAATATTGTCATGTTAAAGAAGAGAAAACTGATGATATTGATAAATATTGTCATATTAAAGAAGAGAAAACTGATGATGCAGATGAATATTGTCATGTTAAAGAAGAGAAAACTGACGATGTAGATGGATATTGTCATGTTAAAGAAGAGACAACTGATGATGTAGATGAATATTGTCATGTTAAAGAAGAGAAAACTGATGATGTAGATGAATATTGTCATGTTAAAGAAGAGAAAACTGAAGACATTGAAACATGCTATCAGTGTAATTTGTGTGATGAAGAATTTACTTTAGAAACTGATTTAGAAAAACACTGTGAAATACATGTGAAAGAAGAGGATTCTGTTTTACAACATGGTAAAAATTGGGAAACAAGTTTAAGCCAGAATAATGAAGAAGAAAAACACAATTCACAAGAGGCTAAGAAATGTAATGTTTGTAATAAATTATTTATTAATGAATATTACCTTCAAATTCACATGAGAAATCATACAGTAGACAAACCCTTTAAATGTGATGTTTGTAGTAAATCATTTACAAGAATTCTTCATCTTCAGACACATATTCGATCACATACTGGTGAAAAACCTTACAAATGTAATGTTTGTAGTAAATCATTTTCTGCCACTACAAATCTTCAGTCACACATAAGAATTCATACAGGTGAAAAAGCTTATAAATGTAATGTTTGTAATAAATCATTCTCACAGAAGGCTCACCTACAGAGACACACGAGAATTCATACAGGTGAAAAACCTTATAAATGTGATGTTTGTAGTAAATCATTTACTCATAGTGGTGGTCTACAAACACACATGAGAATTCATACTGGTGACAAGCCTTATAAATGTGATGTTTGTGGTAAATCATTTACTCACATTGGTACTCTACAAAAACACATGAGAATTCATACTGGTGAAAAACCTTATAAATGTAATTTTTGTGGTAAATCATTTTCTACCAGCAGTAGTTTGCATGTGCATGAAAGAATTCATACTGGCGTAAAACCTTATAAATGTGATGTTTGTAGTAAATCATTTACCCACATTGGTAATCTACAGTCACACTTAAGAATTCATACTGGTGAAAAAAATTATAAATGTAAATAAGACGTTTATTTTCAATCATTCAAAAAGAATAGTTACCTACAATCACAAGAAATATACAGGAAAAAATCTTATTAATGTGATGTTTGAGATAAATCTTTTAGTCTGAATAGTCACATGAGAAACTTGAAAAATCTAATTAATGTGATGGTTGTAATAAATCATTTAGTCTGAATGATCACATACAGACCCACATGAGAAACCCGATAAATGTGATATTTGTAGTAAACCATTCTCTACCAGTGATCATCTACAAAAACACCAGAAATTACACTGTAAAAAGTATATAAAAAAACAATACAACCACCGAATGTTTATTAGGAGTGTGTACTACTACTCTTCAACTGAACTAAATATGTGAACTGTTCCCAGAAAACCAGGCTCTTGGCAGGAGATTTAAATAGTCCACAGCCTACGCTTTCCAAAAATGCAATTCTTTCTAATTTTGTCGAATTATCTGGAAATGAAATGAAATGAAATGGGGTTTAACGTCCTACTGTTCTTATCATCTGGTGTTGAGTTCGGTTCATTCACAGTAACAAGAAGGCATACAGTTTATACTTCAGTGCTCGTAGTACAAAATGAAGTTGTGCGGGTCACATATATTCCCATTTGTTAGTGAGGTCAAATGTAATGTTGTAGTAAATAGTAATGACGTAATGTAACACCAGTGTAACTCTTTACCTCACTTTTGACCTCAAGTAAAGTATTAAGCCGAAAAGGGAGATAACAACACTAGTGTTACTCGAAATTTAATTTAAACATGGCCTCCACTTATTCTACTTGGATAATATCAGCTTGATTCTAAAGAATTGACCCCAAGAAATCTTTTGTATAATACCTACCATGCAAGCACATTTGATGGTGGTTTTCTGTGATGCTGAACTTGACAAATATATGCATAATAATTCCAAGCTTGTGGACACTCTAGAGGTGACAATTTTTATACGATATTAATGAAACTGACAGTGTATGTTTATAAATGACAGATCTCAACATTTTTAGCTTGTGGACCCTCTAGACCCCACGGTTTCTATTTGATTGTCAAAACCGTTCAAATATATAACTGCTGCACCATAATTACGGTTTAGTTCACATTTCGTGAAAATCTGACAGAAACTGCCCAACAAAATGGCTGCTACCCTTAAAAGCATGTAATATCCAGGTTGTGGGCCAGAGGTTCGAATTTTCATCCAATTTTGATGTGGAGGGTGTGTGAATGGTTAACGTGTGGGCATTGTATCAGGTCTGTCATTGAGTCAAGTGGCATGGTTTTGAATACCTGTTTGAACGTGACAGGGAAGTAAGATCATTTGTCCAACCTCGTGGATTTTCTCTGGGTCCTCAAGCGAATTATTGAATTTGAAATAAAATTGAACCACATGTTAGTCCCAAAATGACCTAATTTGTGTTGAGTGGACATTAATCTCCATTTCTCTTCCTTGTGCAGATGTCCTCTTAATGGCTTTTCCAACGACCTTCAAAAGGATGGACGAATGGTAAGCATGTGCGCGCTGTATCATAAGTCCTGCCATTGAATCAGCTGGCATGGTTTCAAATCCCCGGTTGTACGAGAAAAGGAGTAGGGTCGCCTGTCCAACCTCGTGGGTTTTCTCCGGATCCTCCGGTTTCTTCCCACTGCTAAAGACCCCTATGCGCAAGTTTATTATTGAAATAAAATTAAACCATATGTTAGTCCCAAAATGACCTAGTTTAATGACCCATTTAATCAGGGCTGGCCACGAATAAATTGATGGCGAGCAGATGACTGTGTTACGGTCCAGGCGATTCCAGTATTTCGCACGTCGTTTCCGACTGAGAGTGTCAAAAAATGAGACCAGCTCCCTTGTAGAGTTCACGCCCGAAACACATTTATATATCAATGTCATACATTACCATGTATCACAATATAATGCCCGATATCCATCTTGTCCTTTTCACATAATTATATTTATAACATTCCCGTTAGGCCGATGAATTGACACAAATCAGTTAGTGAAACAGCTGGCGGCCATGACACTTTGGCGCGGTCAAGGCTATAAAGTCGTCATTGTTAGTAACGCTCGCATTGATTGGTTGACAACTGACATCATTGGAATCCCCTTATAAATAGAAGCAGACGACAAGGAAATCCTCAGTGGACACTCGGTGCACTCGGGAAAGCTCCTTACGTAATTGGCAGCAATCCAGCTATTTTAAATTGGATATGGATCACCAAAAATGGGTAAGGAATTAATATCCTAGCTTTGGCTGTGGTAATTTATCCATAACTGGTCTCCTATTTAAAGACTCATAGGTTGGTTTAACCTTGACTGGCTTGATCCAAGATAGGCCTAGATAGTTGTGGTTCACCCATTCCCCCAAGTCTTACCAATTCCTTATGTCACCAAATCTCCGATTTAATCCCGTCATATCCACCGGCCTGACAGGGCAAATGTATTTATTTACCTAATTCCTGTTTCCATACCTGGGAATTTATCCAAAGGGTTGGCGTCTCACCCAAATTATCTCCCCTTAATGCGATGTATCCCAATTATAAATTGATCCAAATGCGATGTATCCCAATTATAAATTGATCCAAATAAAGATGTTTATTTTTTATCTACACCCGAGTTTGTTAGTTCTTTCGATTGAAGTGCTAGGCTGGAACGAACCCCTAAAAAGTCTCTAATAAATGTTGAGATGTTACATTGGTGTCAGAAGTGGGATTCAAATTAAATTGATTTCATTGAAACTTATTCCAGTGTCTAGTGGATCGGAAGTTCTAATAAACACAAACTCCAAATAAATAAATAAATTAGGTTCCTTTATTAATATTAATAATAGTAATAGATTCTAAATACATCTATAAAAATGGCCACCAAATCCTTGTCCCCAGAGTTTGAAATTGTCCCAGACACTGATCCGGATATGCCCTCGGTAGAATCAGTTGATGGTGATGTCTCAGAAACTGAAATAGAAAATCAGAATATGGGTGACGATGGAATTCTTAAAGAAATTAGCCGACAATTTAATCAATTCTTCCTGGAAAATGCTCAGGTTCAAAATGATTTTTTAGACAATTTAAAGGAATTAAAGGAGGATGTTAGATTACTAAAAGACCATGTTAATAAATTGGATGAAAAAGTAAATGATCCAAATCCTGCCACATTTTACTCAAATGGAAATGGAGATGCTCAAAACAGAAGCACACCAAGCCATAATCAAAATTCTAATCATACCTCAATCCAAGCACATGTTCCCACCAGTCCTAGAATTAATAACCTCCTTAGGATCTTGTCAGAATTAAATACTATCCAGAGAACGGATTTCCATACCCTCACAACCCTCCTAAGTATTCGTTTTGGATCAACGGAAAAATCTGAAATATATAGAGCAAAATTACAAACTCGTATTAGAGGAAGAAACGAATCCTTATCTGAGCTGGCTCAATCCATTCGCAAACTAACGAGACAGGCCTACCCCACGGCAGATAAATCTCTCACCAATATTTTAGCCTTAGAACATTTTATAGACTCCATACCAGACTCAGAAATGAGATTACGAATTAGGGAACTAAGACCCAAGGATATCAATGAGGCTGAGATACATTCTATTAGACTCGAAGCCCACAGACTGGCAGATAAACAAAAAGGACGTTCAGTTCATTCTGTAGATCTAAATCATAATATAAACCAGGTCGGAGCTGGAGCTGTAAAATCTGATGATATGGGTCAAAGCAAAATTGATATACTTACCTTGAATGGTTCAATCACATCATTGGATAAAACTACCAAACACTTGATAAATACCCTAAATAAGGGACAACCATTGCAGCAATCATCACGTAGCTCCTGGAATAAAAATCCCAATTACAGTCGGAGTCATTGGCCAAATAACCAACAACATACAAACTCTAATAATAATTATGGCAGGTATCAATATAACTCCAATAGGAGAACAGATAGGCCCCAGCATATGGCAAACACAAGAAATGGATGGTCTCGTCCACCATATAATTGGAATCAACCTAATCATCAAAACCCTGATGAGGAGTCACAATCAAAACCAAGGGAGACAACCTATAATCCCCATTTACAGAGGGAAAGGGATCTCCAAAACCAGGAAAACTAAATGTTGCTGAACTCGAGGGTCAGAATTCAGCAGAAATTGAAAATAACAAAGGGCCCAATAATGTAACAATAAGTAGTATTAATGATGATAAACATGGATTTTTTATTAATGCAAATATAATGGGGAAATTTATATCCTTACTTGTAGACACTGGAGCTAATGTGTCTATACTTAGTACGCAATTTAGGAAAACATTAGGGGCTTTGGATGAATTAAATATAAAGCCTGTTAATCTTAACCTGGTAACTGCCACTGGCGAAAAGAAACCGTTCCATGGTAAATGCTGGATCGATATAACCCTTGGTACTCATAGGATAAAACATGAGTTTTTAATAGCTGATATTACACAGCAAGGAATTATTGGCATTGACCTACTTACTTCCAATTCAATAAATATATTTCTCGACAGGAATTGCCTGAATATTAAAGGAGATGATCTACCATGCTATAGATTTCAAAGTTCTATGGAGCAAACTTGCAGTAGGATTTGCATGAATGAGGATATTACTATACCCGCTAATAGTGAGACTTTTGTCTTTGGGATCTTAATGGATCCGATACCTAGAAGTGGTGTCGCAATTGTCGAACCCACTGAGAATTTTCTGGAAAAGACAGAACTGTTAATGGCAAAAAGTGTTGTTAACCCTAGCTCGGGGTCTGTGCCCGTACGTTTAATGAACGCTACCAACACAGAAATAAGAGTCCGAAAAAACACAATTATTGCCCGTATTGACACAGTTCAGCTGGTCTCAGAAATGAAAAGTAATATTCCCATTAATGAAATAGACACTAATCAATCTCCTGCATTGGATTCAGACATCCTTCCTGATTATTTGATGGAAGTTTATAATAATTCAATAGATGAATTAACTGAGAACGAGCAACGTTCATTCAAATCCCTTTTGTTAAAATACAAACATACCTTTTCCAAAGATTCATCTGATATAGGCATCACCAATGAAGCTGAGCATTGGATTAATACTGGTTGTGCTCCACCAATTCGTCAGCATCCTCGTCGCGTCCCCCTGGCAAGCAGAAAAGAGGTTGAATTGGAAATAGAAAGCATGGCACAGAAAAATATAATAGAAAAATCTGATAGTCCTTGGTGTTCTCCTGTCGTTTTAGTTAAAAAGTAAGACAATACACTACGGTTCTGTATTGATTACAGACGTCTAAATGATGTCACCATAAAAGATAGTCATCCATTACCTCGGATTGACACTACTCTTGATGCCTTGTCTGGTTTCTCTTGGTTCTCAACGATTGACTTGAGATCGGGATATTGGCAAGTCAAGATTGCCGAACAAGATAGGCCCAAAACTGCTTTTTCTGTACCTGGATGTGGACTGTGGCAGTTCAAAAACATGGCATTCGGATTGTGCAACGCACCGGCCACGTTCGAAAGACTGATGGAGAAGGTTTTAGCTAACTTATCATGGGAAATATGTATGGTGTACCTGGATGATATCATTATCTTTGCAAAATCCTTTGACGAGCACTTATCCAATTTAGAAAAAGTCTTCCAGAGGCTCCAACAAGCAAACCTGAAAATGAATCCAAAGAAATGTTTTATGTTTAAAAAACAAGTATCATTCTTGGGTCATATAATTAATCAGGATGGAATTACCACTGAATCATCTAAAACAGACGCAGTACGCAATTAACCTATTCCTCAAAGTGTTAAAGAGGTCAGACAATTCCTTGGGCTATGCTCATACTATAGGAAATTTGTCAATAAGTTTGCAGATATCGCTAAACCCCTTCATAAACTAACAGAGATAAGAACTAAATTCCAATGGTCCGATGAATGCCAATCTGCCTTCGATAATCTCAAAGAAGCTTTAACCAGTCCGCCTATACTTGCATTCCCTAAATTAGAAGGTCATTTTATTTTGGACACTGACGCATCCAATAATGGTTTAGGTGCTGTGCTCTCACAAACACAAGATGGTGTAGAAAGAGTGATAAGTTACTATAGTAAAGCTTTTAGTAGAACGGAGAGGAAATATTGTGTAACCAGAAGAGAATTACTAGCAATTATAAGTTCAGTGAACCAATTCCACCATTAGCTCTATGGTCAACCGTTTACAGTCAGAAGTGACCACGGTGCATTAACATGGCTTATAAATTTTAAAAATCCTGAAGGACAACTTGCTAGATGATTTGAGTTCCTGTCTTCCTACCAATTCACCATTCAGTACAGGGCAGGACGAGTACACAATAATGCAGATGCACTATCTCGACGACCATGCATAGTTGACTGTCTCCACTGTACCAAAGCGGAACAGAGATACGAGCATAGTATTATCGAAGATCCACGTACCTCCAATGAAAACCTTAATGTTTTGGCTTGCACAAGTGCTCCAATAGACCAATTAAACAAAAATCCATTATCTTCCTCTTCCCTTCCTGAAAATATAAATAAAGAAATAAATATATATGACGACAAATTAATAATCAACCTACAGTTGGGAGACCCTACACTCCATGAAATAATCCAGTGGGTTAAGCATAACGATAAACCTTCGTGGCCAAACATATCGGACAGAGATCAGCGCACCAAATACTATTGGATGCGGTTCGAATCCCTTTTAATTGATCACGATCGGTTATGCTATATCTGGGATAAGGGGAAAGGCCAAGATCCAGCCATCTTAATTATTCTCCCTCATATCCTGAGAAATTCTGCATGGTCCCAACTTCATGAACACAGAACAGGGGGTCATTTAGGCTATAAAAAAACATTATCTAAGATCAAAAACCGATACTTTTGGTATCAAATGCATAATGACATAAGGAAATGGTGTGAGACTTGTGATATTTGTGCCTCTCGCAAATCCCCTGCCAAGGTAGCCAAAGGCCCTTTAAAAACCTACAACGTGGGTTTACCTATGGAAAGATGGGCTATAGATGTCCTGGGTCCATTACCGGAAACAAAGCATGGAAATAAATACCTACTAGTGGCAGCCGATTATTTCTCTAAATGGGTTGAGGCTATGCCAATA